GGGAGCTTGGGCGCTGGATGAGGCAGCATGCCCTCTTTTATCCTATTGGACAATTCTCTAAATTCAAATACATTGTCGATTGGATGCTTACCTGGATTCGAAAGATCTTATGACATTGAAATTCACAACATGTTCTCAATTTGGTGGTGGAAGAGATAGTGAGAGGCCAGGCTGACTCTTCCTATCCTTTTACTCTCAGTTTATCACTTCCTTGAGATACTACCCTCATATAGATTATGTTCTGCTATTTGGTAATACAGAACATATACTTCTCCCATTATGACACCTACCAAATTTTATTTTCGTTTTTTGATACATTTTCTTGTTTTTTCACTTAACTAAAAACTCCATGAGAACAGCAACCATATTTTTCTTTCCCTCTATTGTATCTCCAAAAGCTGCACAGCCAGGCATCAAAGGAGAGTTGAATACAGATATGCTTGCAGGCAGTGGGAATGTAATACATATATTTGTTGAAAAATAAATAAATGAGATTTATTTATTTATTTATATAATATGATGAGAGAGTGTTCACATTTAAATCAACTACCTTTTAGATTTCTTTAGCAAGACCTCAGGAAATCCTTTTCTAATCCAATGAGAGGTAGGGATTTATGTGTAGAAGAGTCTTTAATGATATCCACCCAGACATCCATTTTTTTCCTTTCCATTGTCACAAAATATTTGAATTACCTTATGGCTAAAAAAATATAATTGCATTACATTCAAATGATTTAGTGACACAAATTATTTGTTAATAAAGCTTCTTACACATATGTAATAGATACCAATTTTTTTCCTGACATTCAAGAAATAATTTTATCATTCTTTAGGAGGATTTTATTAGAACTGGTATTAGCTCCCACATGTACAAACCAGTGAAAAATCCAGTATTAATCATTTTTAAAAGATGTCTGACCTTGTTTTATACAGTCATGCTGTAGGCTTGTATCATCTTTATAAAGGGTCCTACAGCCTCCCAATTCTGGAGGGGGGCAGATCCCTGGTCTCATCCAGGGTTGCATTTATGGCTGTTATTCCTATGGTCACATGATGCTGTGGCTCTGATGTTGGGTCCATTTGTGGTCCCATTTGTGGGCCCAGCATTGCTATTCTACAGCTCCAGATCCAGGTCCTTGCTCAGGTTCTGCAGAAACTCTACATGATAGCGTCTTGGGTACGTCCCCAACTGGACTCCTGATGTCCTGGCCTGTACCTTTTAAGTGCCTGACACCTTCAATACCCTGCCCCTGAGCTGCTGCAGAATCTGCAAAACTTGTCCTTATTCAAAATTCTGCATTATCTAGTGGAGCAATGCCTACTTCTCCCCATCTAATATCCCCAGTACAGAAAAATTCATCCTGCTTCTTCTTTCAAAAACAGGGCTTCAGGAAGCACTAGAAAACCCAGAGAACCTGGCCTCAGACCCACCACAAACAAATCTATGTTTTTGTGAATGAAAAGGATCTGACCTTAGGAACACAGAGGCTTGATTCCTTCCTTTCAGATGGAGCTACAGAAACAGGGGGAAAAAAAAGTACAAATTAATTTCCCAGCTGGTCACTCTGCTATGTAATATTTTCAATAAGTCATGTCATAAACATTCAATCCACATTCACTGAATGCACTGGATTCTAACACTACACAAGAAACTCCTTTAGTATACAGATAACAATTTTTAATTAGCACTTTGCATAAATGGTTGGGCTAGAGGCCTTAAAAATTTGTGGTCTGGAAAGTAAAATTAAACATTTATCTTTAACTTCACTGTTTTTAATATTCTTAATTTGTCTGAAACATTTTTCACACAAAACTGACCTATTTCTATGTGGCTGACTAAAGCTACTTAGCTCATGTAGGATTTAACTGTTGATATTTTATTTTCTCTAGCTTGCAGACAGAAATATTTATTTTGGTCACCTGAAACATATACTCACAGTCAGATTTGGGGGTTTGTAAGCATTGTGTTTACAGGCAAAGAATGATCAAGTGTCTGCACCTCTCTGTTCCTCTCTGGGATTTATTGTCAAGAGCCCATGCTTGCCTGGTCACAGGATCACCTGGTCAGTCTGGCTTCTGTGGAAGTCTGTTATTTTCCTAGATTTCTGGGGTTAGAATGAGTGACCAGAAACACATTATGTCTCCCAGGGTACAAGCCTATTGAGGTTGCTGGAAAATGAGCACAATTAGGATCAGCTCATTAACTGCAATGGTTTTCAATGCATCACACTGAGCATGTAACCCTTATGTGGTCAAAGGCATTGCGCCCATTAGCCAGTATCTGGACAATCACCTTTCCATGTGGTTTTTCTGAAAGATTTCACACTCTCTATAACTGAAGCAAGGAAAATAGAACACCTTTAATGAGGAATTACAATTAATACCCTGATTCATTGAAAAGTAACAATTGTGGTATGTTAGGTATTAGTGTATTACTTGTAATCATGTTTGACTTTATTTTACAGCTAGCACTTTTTCTAAGAAGATTTCTTGAATATTTTTGGAAAGAAACAATAGTTCTGATTCAATATAGATTCAAAGACTAGGTATATGTGGCCCTGCCCATGACATTCTAGGTGGCCTCGGGCAAGCCATTTCACAAATAATGAGGAGCTGGGCTAAATCAGTGCTTCCCCATCATGGGGAAAAAATCCCCTTGGGAGCTTTTAAAAGTACCAATTTTCAGGTTCTATCCCCAGATCAATTAAACCGGACATTGTGGGGTGGGATCTGGCAGTTGTATTATTTAGCAGCTTCTCCAAGTGATTTTACTGTGCAGCCAGGATTGAGAACCAATGGACTGGATGATCTATACATGTTTCACTAGGTTTCACAGTCTATGGATTATTTCAGTGTGTTTTCCCTGGAAGGAAGTTTCTATTATACTGTAGTCTTTTTATTCTAATTTTTGGTGGCATTTCCCTTATTTTTCAATGTAAACATTCATTAGGTAATTTGAAGAAATAAACATCACAATTTTATATTTGAGGTTTCTAACAACAGATCTGGAGAGGAGGGCACTTTTGGTGTTAGCTGTGCTGTGAGTCTATATGCAAATGAGGGGTGGTCTCGAATGCCTGTCCGTTATTCAACCAGTGTGTTTGTGACCCAAGGGCCTGGCTAACTCCCTCAAGAGTATTCAATCCTGCCTCAGCGCTAAGATTAGGATTCAGAATCATCTGAGCACTACTGAATAGAAATCCTTTAGAACTCCAAGTGTGAAGGATGCTGGGTGGTGCTAATGTGCAGCTGGCTTGAGAAACATTGACCACATTGGTACAATCTAATTCCTTATAAAATGTAAAATATAATTGGCACCCTGTAATTTAATTACCAAATGTATAGCATAAGACTAGCTGTGTAGTTTAGGCTAGTTGATTATCTTCTCTAAGCCAGAATTTTGATCTGAAATATGGAGCTAATAATAGTACCTTTTAATTGGATTATAGTGAAGCTTGGTTGAGACGACTGAGGAAATGAGCGTAGTTCACTGCCTGGAACATGGTAATCACTCACTATTATTACTAAAACCATGACTAGTGGGGGTGCGGGGGCGAGGTGGCTCATGCCTGTAATCCCAGCACTTTGGGAGGCTGAGGTGGGTGGACCACGAGGTCAGAAGATTGAGACCATCCTGGCCAACATGGTGAAACCCCATCTCTACTAAAATTACAAAAAAATTAGCTGGGCATGGTGGAGCACGCCTGCAGTCCCAGCTACTCGAGAGGCTGAGGCAGGAGAATCCCTTGAACCAGGGTGTTGGAGGTTGCAGTGAACCAGGATCGTGCCACTGCATTCCAGCTTGAAGTCAGAGCGAGACTCTGTCTCAAAACAAAAAAAACTATGGCTCTATTATTGTTATATTATTATTTACCTTTATATTGATATTTAAAAAAAACCATGGATGTGGGAGTGGGAGAAGGGACAAGACTTCTTTTTTATGATTAACAGGAGGAGTTGATAGGAACCAAAAGTTCCAGGGAATTAACACACACACACACACACACACACACACACACAATTTATATATATCACATTATGCATATGAGTCCCAGAGAAGCAGGAAGCAGCAGCAAGAAGCAACTAGCACATGACAACACCTCTGCATGTGCACCACACACTCAAGCAAAGCCATTCCTCTGGTTAGGGCAGCAGCAATCCCCACCTTCCCACCTGCTCACAAAAGAGAAAAAAGAAACTTCCTTTTTTTTTTCTTTTTTTTTTTTTGAGATGGAGTCTGGCTCTGTTACCCAGGCTGGAGTGCAGTGGTGTGATCTTGGCTCATTGTAACCTCTACCTCCTGGGTTCAAGCAAGTCTTCTGCCTAAGCCTCCCGAGTAGCTGGGACTACAGGCGCTTGCCACCACGCCAGGCTAATTTTTGTGTTTTTAGTAGAGACGAATTTTTGCCATGTTGCCCAGGCTGGTCTCGAATTTCTGACCTCAAGTGATCTGCCCACCTTGGCTTCCCAAAGTGCTGGGATTATAGGTGTGAGCCACCCAGCCGGGCCAAAACTTCCCTTTTTAAGGGCCATCCAGTAAAATTTCTGCCCTCATGACCAGGAAGAAGAAGAGAAAGGAAAAGAAGTCTAAGCTGATACTGCCTTGAAGGCCGGCAGTGGCCATTTTCTCGTCTTTGCCAAAGCAGGACATATTTATTTATTTATTACTTATTATCTCTTTCCACAAATTCTGAAGGACACATTATTTTTAACACTGAGGCTGGAAGGGCACATCACTGTCCCTCACAAATACTTCAAACAGTTGTCTTCAAGATCCTGTGGTTCTATATTTGACTTTTTTTTTTTTTTTTGATACTGAAAAGAACAGTTGGGATGAAAGGCATTGGTCCCTTGCTTCCTTTTAGATGGCCTCTAGGCAGTGGGTTTTCTGTAAGCCTGGCAAAAATTCTGGAGCCAATCCCTGGCACATCAGAGTGCCAGGCAGGGCCTTGGGACTCAGGGTCTGTGCTTAAAGCCTCCTGCTCACTGACCTCTAGAGATACATAAATATTTTTTAATTTAAAGGGGAGGTGCACAGCACACCTTCCTCCACTGGGAGAAAGGAGATCCAATTCCCACTCCCCCAAACACACATAGGTACATATTGAGAAAGGCACAGCTAGGGTGGAGGTGAGCAGAAGGCCCCTTGGGAGGCACCGACAGCTGCAAGGGGTTTGGAGGTGTGGAGCTCATCGCCTCTGGAGGTGGGTGGGGGCAGGAGAAGAAAAGTGTCAGGGCTCCAGAGGAAATAGGAGAAGCTGGTCGGGAAACAGGCAGATGAGAAAAGCAACAGAAAACCTAGAAAAGAGATGAAAGGAAGGAAAGAAAAGAGAGAGTTGAAAAAGAGGAACAGCTCAGGGGTGAAAACAGACTGTGGGCAACAGAACAAAATAGGAAGGAAACAGCCAGAGGGAAAGGGAAGAAGATGCATCAGGGAACTGGGAAAGCGTCCGATGAATTTAGAAAAAAAGTAAAAGGGGGAGGAGGGGAGACAAGAAGAGAAAAACAGAGGAAATGAATACTCAATAAAGAAAACTCGGGGGAGAAGGATGAAAAGGTTGCAGAAGGAAACGGAGCCTTTTGGACGTCTTAGACGTTGACAAAAACCAGGTGGGCAGAGTACACCAGGTCGCCCACATAGGCCAGCAGGTTGACAGCAGTCAGGATGGTCACAGCCAGACGGCGGTCCCAGCTACACACATGGTAGGGGTTTCTGTCATTGCAGCTCACATCTACTGCCCGCCGGACCTGGGCGCTATACTTTTCGCCGAACTGGTAGAGAGGCCAGAGGACAAGGGCAGTGGCATAGAGGGTGACGGACAGCAAGGCCAGTCCCAGCAGGAACCTGGGGAAGGGGATGGGCAGCATGTTGGTGCAGTGCCCCAGGCTCAGCAGGATAGTGAGGGCCGCCAGGACGAAGCAGATGGCGTACACCGCCACGCACCACTCCAGGGCCGGCCGGTTGTGGTACAGATAGGGGCTGCTGATGAACACGAAGATGATACAGGCTACGAAGGTCTCCAGCACCTTCAGCAGCCCCAGGTGGGTGGCCATGTAGCCAGCGATCTCACCAGGACTGGCCCAGGTCCGGGCTACTTCGGTGGTGTAAGCCACACAGGCGATGCAGGAGAAGACGGTGGCGGTGATGGCGTAGTCGCGGGTACGGCCGTGGGACAGGAACTGCACGTAGGTGGTGGGGTAGATGATGGAGGCCAAGAGGCAGGAGAGGGCTGCGTAGCAGGCGAAGGTGATGGGGAAGTTGTGCCAAAACAAGGGGAAGCGGGCGTAGAATCCGCCCAGCTCCACAAGGAGGATGACCAGGGTCATGGCGAAGCAGAAGCACCAGATGAACATGGACAAGTTACCCATGGGTCCGGCCCAGGCGGCTGCACTGGCCACCAGCGAGAAGGCCACACAGGTGGACACCAGCTCCAGCAGGCGGAGGAGGCCCAGGGGATGGGTCAGGGCCCGAGGGGACCCTACGACGGTTGGGGACCCCACAGTGGTCGTGACGGTCGTGACGGTTGGGGGGGTAACAATCACCTGCATGGCAGCGGTCCTGGCTCAGGAACTCACGGAGAAAGTGCTGGTTGTGGGAACGGATTAAGCCACATGCCTGGAAAAGGCTGGGTAGAGCGCCAGAGAGCGAGAGAGGATGTCAGTGTCCACTGAGACTGGGCTCCTCCCTCCTGGGACCCGCCTCCCGGCGGGACAGGAACCTGGCACGGAGCCCGGAAAAGGTGTGGCTTTGACCCCAGGGAAGTCCTGCCCCTTTCCTTCTTCCGGTTCCACTACCTGTATGGGCCGCGGGCGGAGGGAACGCAGCGGAAGTGCACGCCCGCGGGCAGGCGTGCGTGCGTGTGTGACGGTAAGCCTGCTCTGACAGGCGCCTGGGGGCAGCGCTCCGGGGTGGGCGGTCCAGTCAGGCCCGGCTTTCCTCACCTTGTAAAGTCAGCCTAACCATCACTTTTAATTTTTAGTTTGTTTGAGGCAGGGCCTCACTTTGTTGTTCAGGCTGGAGTGCAGTGACACGATCAGGGCTTACTGCGGCCTTGACCTCCCAGGCTCAGGTGGTCCGCCCACTTCAGCCTCCCAGGTAGCTGGGACTACAGGCACCAGGCACCACCTGCCTGGCTAATTTTTGTGTTTTTTAGCAGAAGTGGGATTTTGCCATGTTGCCCAGGCTGGTCTTGAACTCCTGGGCTCGAGTGATCCACCTGCCTCAGCCTCCCAAAGTGCTGGGGTCAGAGGCATTGGAACCAGAGCAACTTCATCTTGAATAGGAGCTGAGTAAAATAAGGCCACACCTACTGGGCTGCATTCCCAGAGGTTAGGCATTCTAAGTCACAGGATGAGATAGGAGGTCAGCACAAGACACAGGTCATAAAGACCTTGCTGATAAAACAGCTTGCAGTAAAGAAGCCGGCTAAAACCTACCAAAACCAAGATGGTGATGAGAGTGTCCTGGTCCTCCTCGCTGCTACACTCTCACCAGTGGCACGACAGTTTACAAACGCCATGGAAACCTCAGTAAGTTACTCTATATGGTCTAAAAAGGGGAGACGTGAATAATCCACCCATTGTTTAGCATATAATCAAGATATAAACATAAAAATGGGCAACCAGCAGCCTTCTGGGCTGCTCTGTCTGTGAAGTAGCCATTCTTTTATTCCTTTACTTTCCTAATCAACTTGATTTGACTTTATGGACTGTCCTCGAATTCTTTCTTGATCGATATCCAAGAACCCACTCAGGGTCCAGATGGAGACCCTTTTCTGGTAACAATGGGATTACAGGCTCGAGCCACCATGCCTGGCTGTTATTATTATTGATCTATGGCCAAGGCTGGCTCCAGGAAAATCTGCAGTCATACATTCCTTTGCTTGTCATTCTTTGGGGTCCACACCCAAAGCTTGGTTTCTAGAGACCACAGGCTGTGGGGAAGTGGAGGGCTGAAAAGCCATACACTCACCTGCAGCTTTTCTTTTCACCTGCTTTGTGCAGCTCTACTCCCTCAGGTCATCTACCCTTGGATGAATAAGTGTCCTGGCTCTCTTATAGACCCTAGGTTCAAAGTTCTTCATATCCATGCACTTGTTTATTCATTCATAAATTCATTCATTTATGTACTTCCTCATTCAAAGCAATACTTAGGTATTAAATATACTGAAAAGATTCTTTCTTGAGGCAGAAATAATTTGTATTCAATCATATAAACAGAACTGTTTCATTCTGTTTTGTTTTGAGAGTGAAAGTGTGTATTTTAAAGAGGTAGGGAAAGACCTCAGAGAGAACTGCATGTTGATTCTGAGAAGTTGTGGAAGCAGTCAAGAAGCTGGCTGAAATCCAAGAAAACCAAGATGGCGATGAGAGTGTCCTAGTCGTCCTCACTGCTACACTTCCACGGGCGCCATGACAGTTTACAAATGCCATGGAAACTCCCTTACAGTCCAAGCTGTGTGTGGGAGCAATTGCGTCATTGGGGTGCTAGGAAATACCAGCAGCACCCAGACTCCAGAGCCCAGGTTCTGCCCAGCACAGAGCAGACGTTTGCTCATACTACTTCTCTTCACCGTATGTTTACATTAAATGAGCATCTGTGTTCATCACATTATTGGGCAGGTAGCCATGCTCAGTATAAATAATTTATTTGTTTGAGGGTGTGACCAGTTTACACGGGGTGAGAATTTCAGTTGAGTCACTGGGTTTGAAATCCTAAGTAGGAAATGTTATTTTCATAGAGCAAAAGAATGAAGAAACTTGTAAACTTTGTAAACTTGTATTTGTTGTTTTTGTATCACTGAGGCTCTTGCTCATTGATGGTCAGCAAATCGAGGTCAGGCTTTCAATATGCTCACTACGCTGGGTGCTGCAGGAAGTGACAGGCTGCTGCTAGTGTTACCCACATAATGCAAAGTTGCTGCAAAAAGCTCTTCCAGTCTTTTCTATGTGGAATATAGTAACTAAAGGATGGAATCTATGGCCAGGTGTGGTGGCTCACACCTGTAATCCCAGCACTTTGGGAGGTCGAGGCAGGCGGATCACAAGGTGAAGAGATTGAGATCATCCTGGCCAACATGATGAAACCCCATCTCTACTAAAAATACAAAAATTAGCCAGGCGTAGTGGCGCAGGCCTGTAGTTCCAGCTACTTGGGAGGCTGAGGCAGGAGAATTGCTTGAACCTGGGAGGCGGAGGTTGCAGTGAGCCGAGATCGCATCACTGCACTCCAGCCTGGGTGACAGAGCAAGATGCTGTCTCACAAAAAAAAAAAAAAAAAAATAGAATCTAGTGACTAAAGAGAACATCTGAGGGCCCTGGTTTACAAAAGATGTCCTCATTCACCAGTGTTCTTTTTAAAATAAGTATCTAGGTGAATACATAACTGATAATTATAACATGTTCAATTTGGTCAGTTTGCTTGTTTTTTTTTTTTAAATGTATTTGACATTCACCTTTCATTGCTGATTTTAAGAAGTGACTTTGTATATGTTGCCTTAATTGATTTGGATATTGCGTTTCCATAAATGTCTGAGACACATCTTCTGTGTGCATTATACTGTCAAGCTTTAGGAGTTTAGTTCTTATCTCTACCTTGAGGGACCAGAGTGGACCTGTGATTCAGAAAGGATGCCTGCACACTGGCACTTATTGTAGTCAAGGTTTTTGTTGCGGAAAACCTTAGCAAATAATTTTCCTAGCTTTAAAACATATTAGATTTTATTGCAAAAGTGTTTGCAACTAGAAGAAATTACAAAAGAGAAAATAAAATTACAATCTGACTGTGTATAAACATACATAACTATTGCCTTCCTTAACACTTCTTCCCTGGGTCATTTTAACAAAATTGTATTCTCTTTGCTCACTCTGCATTCTATTTGAAATTTTAACCATATCATTATATATATTTATTTATTTAGAGGCAGGGTCTTGGGTCCTGCCCTGTTACTCAGGCTGGAGTGCAGCGGCACAATCATAGCACATTGCAGCCTTGAACTCCTGGGCTCAAGCAGTCTTTCTGCCTAAGTCTCCCAAGTAGCTGAAACTACAGGTGCATGCTACCATGCCAAGCTAATTAAAAATTTTTTTGTTTGTTTTGTTTCGTTTGTAGAGATAAGCTCTTATTACATTGCTCATGCTGATCTTGAATGCCTGGCTGATCTTCCTGCCTCAGCCTCCTAAAGTGCTGAAATTACAGGCACGAGCCACTGTGTGTGGCTCACAATGGTTTTTGAAACAATTATTTTTAGTGGCTGCATAACATTCTGTTCTTTGAATAGACAGTTTACTATTTATCCCTTATGTTTGGTCATTTCACTTGTTCCTGAGTTTTTTTTGAATTATTGACAATGTTATAAATAGAAAATAAGTGCAGGTATGATTTATAGATAGTACTAATAGCATTCTAAAATGTTGGTATTAATCTGGATTACAGCCAATTCCTAATCTGGATAATATTCCAACATGCTAATCCTTATCTGGATTATGGCCCCTTTTCAAGTCTATCTTTCCTGCCTGTCTCTCATCTGCCTCCATCCTGGGAAAGCTTTTCCTTAACTTCAGGACGTACAGGGTTCCAGTTCCAGGCTCTGCCCCTCACAGTTAGTAGAAGGTTAGAAGTTTATGCATGATAACTAACTTTTGTCTCATGATTAATATGTAGCTTGGTTTGAAGCTTGTTCCTAAGATTACGCCACAATCATTTTTTCAACGAATATAGACACATTCTTAATTCAGTATTCTGCTTCTTTGTTTAGTGGGCTACTCTTTACGACCCAAAAAGGCCAGATAATACTGCAGAAAACAGTACAAACCCTTTCAAGTATATTCTCTTATACTCATGGTTACTTTCTAGAATAAATACTGAGAATATTCCACCTCATTCCATTAAGTAGTTCGTATGATTTAAAAGAATCATAGAACAAAAGAAGAAAATAAAAAGACAAATCAAAATAGAATCATGAAAAATAAATCCTAAGAGTTTATGCCTAAGGGAAAGCTATAGAAACACAGAGTGGCCCAGATGGCCCCAAAAGTTATGAATGTTGAGCTTGAATTAGGCCCCGAACTGCTAGATCAAAATGAGAATGACGTTCTGTCACATAATTCACAATAATCTCAAACTGAAAACATACCCTACATTATGGGTTAAAGCAATTTGTGAAGCACTGAAATAGTTTTACCTTATTCAGCCTACCCTTGTAAATTTTATTAAAGGCACCTAGAATATTTTATGATTGTTGATGATTAAAGGCATCCTAAAATATTTTATGCTTGTCTTCCCACTGAGGCACATACCATGAAAAACAGAGAAGTAAAACACAGATATGGTGACCTCCAGTGTACATTCCAGATGTCTATGGTTTGTTCATTTGGGTCTGATCTGAGACTCCAAACCTCTCTTTAAATTTATATATTCATTTTTGACTAGATGATATATTCATATCACATGGTTCAAAATACACAAGGCCCAAAAGGACATATAGTAAACATCTTCCTCTCATCTCTGTCCCACAGCCACCCAGTTCCTCCCCTAGAGGAAACCCATGTCACCCAATCTTTTTGTGGGGTCTTGAGGATTAGTTGAAATCATCGAATGAGATCAAGAAAAAATAAGTACAATTTATCAGATGATTTCAACACTTGGCTTGGAGAAAGAGGAATGCCAATAGCTGCACTCCCAAAATGTTGACTCAGTTTAGCTTTTCTGATTTCTGTGGACACCGCTGCTTCCTGGGCATGTTACCCATAAAGTTACACTGAGCTC